TTAATATTTCATATCTCTTAAATTAAACAGTATTTGTTTATAGAATTTACGTATATTTTATACATTACAAGTACTGAATATTATATTTCCCATGATTTATTTTACTATGATTTATTTTTAATAAGTTTTTGTGTCTATATAAACAATTCTTAAAAAAAAGTTCGTGTTCGAATTCTCGTTAATCAACGATCTATTGAGATTTCTCTCTGAAGGAGTTTGAGTGGAAGTGCACACGACAATGTGAAGGACTTTACTGTGTAGCCTGCTCTCCACCTGTTAGCTGCTAAAACCCTTCACAGTAAAGACCCTTAGCAGCTAAGTACACCAAATCCTTTACCTCAGAATTACAAAGACCTATCAAATGGAGAACAACTGAATCAAGTTTTCGGCCAAAAACCTGATCTTATCCATGATAATTTTTTTTTTAATTGTTTAACTTTTTGATTTGTAATCCTGGTATTTTTGGGGCAAGGTGGCCGAGCTACGCTGAGAAAAACTCTAACATTTTAACTCTGGCATTAACCCCCCATTCTCAACCCCTGGCCCGGGAAAAAAACGTATAGCCTGGACAGCGAGGAAAGAGAGGACGAAAAAAAAAAATCGGTATTTTAAAGATAATCTTCGTCTCTTCATTTTTCACGCTTCCTTTCTAACCAAATTACAATTGTTCATCCATTTTATGGCAAAATGATTAAGTTAAATCTCCTCTACACGAAGTAAAATATCTTATATAACTCATATATATATATATATCGGTAATTTTAACCAACATGCGTATGTAACTTTATATCACTCCCTTTAACTAAAAGTAATTTACTGTTCGTTTCATTCTATTTTTATTTCAAAATAAATATAATGTACTATAACAGCATGGAAATAAAAATAAAGCATATAAACTATTCAAACTAATGAATTAGTAATTAGTTATTAGGAACAATTAAAAATACAAATAACTAGAGTAATCGACCTTTTATTTACAGATAATAAACAATGATCTTTTGCGATTTTTATTGTAATGCCATCGAATGTAATAATGTCTTGATTTTTTTTTTTTTTTTTTTTTTTTACCAATATACCTAAAATATATATTGAACTGACATTATTAACAAAATTAGGTGAACATTAATTAATCATTAAATATTTTTTTATTATGTAGACGTTCCATCGAGAGTTGTCTTTTTATGTCAGGATCATGCTCCAGAATAATGAAAAGTTGGTGTATCTCTTCTTCGCCAATAATCATTTTATATTTGCAAGCAGAAAAGTGTTTCTGGAGAGGACAATATGCTCACTAATGATCTACTATGAGTCTGTGGAGTCTTATATGAAAGACCGAATACATGGCCATCTCCCTATCATCTCCTAAAGATGTTCAAAGGTGAACGTTTTTAAATATCTGGAAACTCACCTAGATTCTCTCGGATCCACAGATATTGACCTGCATACAAAAGTGATACAAGCTCAGAAAGTCGAAATAATATGATTCACAATATATTATGTAACGACAGAATTCTAAAACAAAACAGGCGGAAGATATTACAATTGAAATATTTTATTTTTCATTATTTTCAATTTATTTACGATAGTCTACATCACATTCTCCTTCACTGCCCAGCATACATTAACTATAGACGAAAATTCCTCCATAACTTCACCTCAGAATCTTCTGTCAACCACAACATCGAAACAATATTGGATATCGATTGTATGGATAAGTTAAATAAAGTTTACTATTATATGATGGAAGTACACAAAGTGCATACACAAAATTGTTGATCATAGCCCATGTTCTATTAAGTGTTTGTTTTTAGTTTATCTTAAAAGTAATAGTTTATATATATATACTATTATTATGCAGTAATCGTTTTTTGTTTTTAATTTATATTGTTTTTCGTATTTTGTAAAACCCATTCTAAACGTCAAATATTATAAATTTTATTTATATTTAAGTGACATGTCTTTGTCGTAAACCGACGTCTGCCTGTCCTACAGTTTCCTTTAACAATACTCCACTTATCCCTGTTGAGCAAATTAGATACCTAGTACTCAACCTGGACAAGCGACTAACTTGGAATCCCTCATACTAGATTGAAACGACAAGAAACCGCTCGACGTTTCCGATTACTTCATCACTTACTAGACAAACGCTCTAAACTTCCCATTAATTACAAAAGACTCATATACTTGACTGTAATAAGACCTATTTGGACTTACGGAGTTGAGCTATGGGGCTCCACTAAACCATCGAATTCCTCTCGCATCCAATCCTTACAATCCAAAATCCTTCGTAAAATCCTCAATGCTCCTTACTTTGTCACTAATAAAATTATCCATAAAGATCTTAATGTTCCTAAGTGTTTCAAATCTGGCCCAATCCAGGTACCTATCCTTCCATAATAAACTTCAGAATCATCCCAACCCTCTCGTTTCTAACCTTGCTTCCTCTTCAATTCCTGATAACCCTCCGAGGCGTCTGAAAAGAAGATGGTCCCGTGATCTCCTAATGTAGTCATATCATTAGAGTGCTACCATTGGGTAGTTACTCAGCAAGTGTATTCATGTCATTATATATATTATGTAATTTACTAGATGTATTTATGTAATACAGTTGTAATAGTCATTAAGAAATAAAAAAAAAATGATATGTAAGTAACGTGTAAAACCATATAATTCTACATAGCCAAGCTAGGCTCTATTTCTATGGGGAAACCTCCAAAAACAAATAAAATTTTTATGTATCTATCTATCTATTTTCCATTTGGCTAAAAATGATATGACATTTATTCAAACAAATACCGAAAAGGCATTTCGAAATCTTGAACTAATATAGTTTTATCTGCACAAAACCTGGCCAATCTCACTAGTCTAGAAAATTTGTACCTACAGCGTTACAAAAATTTGTATTCGTTTTTTTGTATAAGTTTTCATATAAATGGTAGAAAGATAGGGAGAAATTGATTGACAGGCACAATAGGAAGGTTAGTCATGGGGTGAAAATATCATTTGTAGGTAATAATTACCTAATTCCTGACTTTATGGTTAAATGAATCTTTCTATCATTTAGATTAGTGACCTATTGTAGGAATAGATTATTTTCCAAACCTAATTACACTTATTCCTTCTTAAGGCCGTTAAACTCCAATTGACCACCTGTGTGTGTTATATACACAAATAAAGTTCAGCAATTATTAGCACAGCAGTAAAAATAAAAATTGAAGTCCAAATGTTATCCAATGTCTAGGTAAATACGGCGTCTCATTCCACCGTGTGCTAAAACAGCGCAGGGTCATTTCATAAGTTATTAAACCTAATCAAGTATGAGTTTATAGCGGGGGGAGGGAGGTGGGGGTGGAGCAATGAAGCGTTGTGATTGAAGCCACTGGTGCTTGATATTGGTCATTTTGGATTCTGCTAGGCCACTCTATCCTCCTTCGAGTGTGCACGATTGCTGCTACTGAAACTTGTAATACATTAATATTAAATCAACGAGCTCAGAGATTTGGTGCAAGAAAAATTAAATATGAGAATAATAAAATATAGTATTTTAAGTCAATTTGTAATTTTGTTTTCAGGAAAATTGATAAACTATACAACATAAAACTATCACATCTTCTAAAAATAAAAAAATAATTGTATTAACTAATTAATTTATTACATTATATCACAGATTACACAAAAAAGTAATAAAATCTTTTTAACCACTTCGTGTAATGCAACACTATAATACAACACTATGGAAGGTAGATTGGTTACTCCTGAGTGAAATTTGCTTTATAACAGAAAACACCTTCTACTTATACAGTATCGGTGTACAGCATATTTGCAATGTGAAATTGATGAAATTAATAATGACAGTAGATTTACGTAAAATGTCATTATAAATTTACTTATTTTTTAGCTTATTTTATAGTTTAAAGCATATTTTATTTATTAACTTCTTTGACTCCCTCTGAATCATAGGATATCCAAGAGTGCTTTTCATTTGTCTTTATCAGCAGCAATCTTCCTTGCCTCATTCCAAGATTTGCCATCACGGCCTAATTTCTTATCTGCGGACCTGCGCCACATACCTCTTGGAGAGGCCTTCCTTCTTCTTGCCAGACGGTTCCATTCGGCTTGCGATTTGGGTAAGAGCATCCAACTTGCATTGCGAGTCGCTGAACCTCCGCGTTAAGCAAAAGAGACTATCCGAAGAGTTAATGTCCTCAAGAGTCTCCCTTAGTCACCAATGAATACCACACCTCCTTCCTTCAAGCGTTGCTCTCATAATACAATCAAGTAAAATGATAAATAAAGTTGGTGAAAGCACGCATCCCTAGTTCACTCTGGTTACTTTGAATGGAATAGAGAGAGTTCCTTTCTGAACTATTCGGAACTCTTACCCATCATATTGGCTCCTCAAGTTTATAATGTTGCTGGGGAGTCCACACTGCTCTAGAAGCTTCCCCATGTTAGCCTGGTTGGTTACGTCGAATATCTTTTCAATATCTATAAATGAAAGATACAGGAGACTTTTTTTGGAGAGTCCTCCTCTTTCTCACTTTTAAGGCGTTAGCCTGTTTGGCATCTCGCCCCCTCAGGAGACCGCATTTGACGCTTTGGTTCACTATTATCCGCAGGGTATTTATGAGATTTGTGATAACTTGAATTAGGCCTGTTGCTTCCTCAAACATAGTCCAACTGATTGTTTGACCCTCTTCAGAATCGCACGGCTGCTTTGTCATCTTACTCGGTACATGAAGCAGTGGGACTATTCACCAGTTCCTGCTTTCAGAGATGTTGCCTTTCTTGACATTTTCACAGTTAAAATTTCACATTATCTCTTCTTTCTATATTTTCCTAAAAATGGTTCAATTATATATTATAAGAGGTCGTGCGTCTATCTTTGGAATTTCTGTCGAAATGCCATCGATTTAAATCGATCGCAGTTAGAGTAATACTGCTTTGCTCTTCATTTGGCGAGTTTGGCGGATGCCATTCTTCGAAACAGTTTCTGTGATATGAGCTCTTTCGAGTCACCGATGAGAGCTGCTTTTTCAGATTTCTGTGCAATACCGTTGACACAGCCTCTGGTATTTTCGAGTTTTATACTTAGATAAATCTTGCCTACATTCAGAATGTTCGCTTATAAGCATTATTCGTTGTATTAGATACAAATATTCTTAAGAATCTAATTAGAATAATCTTAAGAATTTAATTTATACCAAAACACTATGATTAAATGTTGTCCAACATGAATTCATTACACACGTAAAAAAATATTTAAACCACTATATGTGCAAGAATAATTACAACTATATATATATATATATCAAGACTTCTAGAACAACAAGATACAAGAATTATATATATTTTAATAATTCAGAGGAGTAAATTTGTTTTACCAGTCTGTTAAAATGTATTTTAAGAATAAAAAAACCGCAAATATAAATCATACCTGCGATGAAGAACGCCATAAAAGTTAAAAACTGAATAAGTATTCGTTTAGTTCCAAACATTGCCTGTCAACACTCAAAGTAAAAGAATACTGAAGATGGAAAAAGTTTTTGAAGAATGAATTGGTTAGGAGTTTCCCAAACCGTATCTGAGGAAATTGGATGGAAAAAACCTCACAAACTGATTCATGATATTGGTGTGTCTTTCTTTCATTTCGACATTACAAAACTTTTTTTTTATTTTTCTATATTTATTATCTATTTATTTGGTTATATTTTAGAGGCCGTGTGCAACTTTATAGGCACCATCTTGATTGTTGATTTGCATTTCAATATGTCTTATGTATGTAAAATTTTGGATGTATATTTTGTTAGTATTTTTGTTTAAAGAACGTGTTGTTACAACTAAATAGGTTATTTCTAATTTACGTTGTGAATTCGTTTATGAGGATGATATTGTTTAAATATGTCTTTAGTAATTGGAGGTGTTTCTGATTTCCAGGTTGTAGGGCTTGTCGATATCCTAACAGCAGATATGAGGTCCTTGATGAATCTAAGCTCGAACAATTTTCCAAGATGTGAAACATTGTTAAAGCTGTATTGCAGTTGCGACATCTTGGTGGCGAACTTCCGTCGAGTAGGTGCCCATGCGTGAGCCTGGTGTGCCCTATTCTGAGGCGTGTGATGGTAGTCTGCTTCCGTCGGTTTCCTTGAATCTCTGGAAGTGGATTCATGTCATGAAACATTCTTTTCATTTTTTTTTTTTGTGATAGTAACCTTTGCCCAACAATATCGCCAGGCCTCTCTACACTGGTTCAAAATTGCGTTATTGTAATCGTAGAGCGCTATTTTATTGTCTGGTGCTGGAAGTATGGTGGATGCTTCTTTTGCGGCGCTATCAGCCAGTTAGTTGCCTGGTATTCCTATGTGACTGGGGACCCACAAAAATTTTATCGTTTTTTTTTGTAATTTGTGTAATTTGGAAGACAATGGGGTTGTTGCATGATTGAAAGTTTTCTAATAGTTTGAGGGCTGAGTAGGAATCACTAATAATTAAAATGTGGTCATTGTTAATTTCGTTGATTATTATACCTAACGCTAAATTCTATATTTAAACGTAGCAAGTTTTATTTGAACTACATTTGCTTTTTTTCTTATCCTTAATATTCTCGACTTTCATGAGCAATATTTAATTTTTATGTATTTTAAAATTGAATATCTTCATACTATACATCCCCATCTAAGAACTTTTTATTTGTTATCAGTTTGATATCATTCAAAAACCAATTTTGAAAACCATCGGCTGTTCCCAACAACTATTCTTAAAGTTTTATGTTATGCAAAACTTCTGCTAATCATATAATTGATCTATCTTCTATCTTTCAGTTTAGTCCAATCCATCATCAATAACATTTATTTTATTCAACCCAGTAACCCGTGAAAAGTTGGTATTTTTCATGACCGGAGTAATTTTATCTATCTTTATCCGAATAGAAGTGAAGCGCCATGAGGGTTATATGCTTGGGTTGTCCGTTAAAATTATGCAACGCCTATTTAAGAGAACGGCTTGATACATTTTTAAGTTTGATGGCAGTCGGAGATTCTCTGAGCGCTTTAAAACAATTTGAGCTAAAAATACTGAGTAGTGATTAAATAAAATCTATTTAATGTAACAATTTTATGAGTGAAGGGGTAGGTTGATTTTCAAGTTTAATATCTCAAATTATTCGATGAGATCCCGTAAGTGTTTTGGAAGAATTCGAGTTTAAATTGCTTGCTTGACTTCTGGAAAATTACTGTGTAAAGTGTGTTTATTAAATTCGCTAAAAGGTATTAATCGATTTTCTGAGCTGCTGGATTGACCGATTTTTAATTTTGACTGCTGTAATTACTCATTGAGATCTTAAAAATCTTATGAAACAATTTGAATACAAAATACTGAAAACAATTATTATATATTTACTATCTAGATTATTAATTTATTTAAAATTTTAAAACAAATTAATAATTTAGATATATTCCGTGGTACCCCTTTTTATATAATTATTAACATCCGGCTGAAACTTCGTAAACAGCTTCATTTCATCGTAACCTACAACTATTTTATTTACGAAAATTCTCGGAAGTCGGGCGTTTTCAATCGGAGGTCTGCAAACTTTGTCTATTTAATTAGGTACTAAAAACTTGTAAATACCCATTTGCTTTCCACTTGAATCGTAAGATAACTTTATCTTAACCAAAAAAAAAAAAAAAAAAGGTGCAGACAAAAATATATTAGAACGCGCTCTGTTGAGACCTTCTGTTTTCTCTATTTATCTATCTTGACAACTTCATCTGACATATTTTGTGTTCAAAAAAATATTTATACAAAATATAATTTTACTTCTATAATTATTGTAAAGTAACGTATATTTCATTGTTTCAGAAAATGAACTGTACTGTTCCTGAAGGCTTTATTCCACTCCCTGGTTTCAACTGCACGTGGCTGTGGCATGACAATAACTTATCCTTCTACGTACCCTATGAAGATGAGAGTGAGTTCTTCAATATGATATATTTTATAAATTTATTGATATAGTTTTAAATAAGATAAAAAGATGAACTCGCGTTCTAAATGTTAGTTATATTTTTATTAGTTTTTCATGGAATCGCTATGTCTATTGTAATTTTGATATAGATAACTGTTTGAATTTATTACATTTAATCAATAATGGATTAAGATTTTCAAAAAACCACAACACTCTCATAATTGTATTTCAGTAATCACCATCATCATCAGACATCATATTATATATTTTAAAAATATTTTTCTTAAAAAGCTTCTTATTACTGAAAGACAATTATAGGAGTACTGTTGTTCTTTTAAAATCCTTATCCATTATTGATTAAATGTAATAAATTCAAACAGTTATCTATATAAAAATTAAAATAGAATTATTAAAGGAAGCTTGTCGACAGTTTTACACATCATAGGTGATAAATATTCAGGATGCAGTCTTTTAAAAATTTTTCTCAATTTTTTATTTGTGCCAACGTTTCAACCCAAACATGTGGATCATCTTCAGGGCTGAAAATTTTAAAATACAATCTGAGATATAATATCATACGACCGATAATGGTAAATAATAAACTATAGTGATTTGATGGTACATGAATCTTAACTATTATTACAATACACAATTAAATACTACTACTACTACTACTACTATTAAATATTAATATTAAAACTATGTAATCCTTAATGTAATACATACTTCTATTATGATTAATGTTGTTATATTTAAAACACTGTATAATATATTGACCTACGTATGTTTTCAATCCATTACAATTGTCTTTATTATGAATATTATTTGACTAACCATTGTATACCTTTAATCAGACTATGTTATATTTATATTGGTTGGCACCTCTTGCTTATGTTCATTTCATTACTAGAAAATATTCATAATTTCTTAACCATAATAAACATAGCAAATCTTGTACACATCTAAAATATTTAGTCAGCAAATTAGGTACATTCTACTAACAGAAATGTTACCTCCCTTTCCCTCTGACAATGTTTACCTACCTTTTGCTATCTGAAAAAGGATAACTGGAGAATCCTCCCCCTACCTTTCCACTTATCTACTAAATGTGTCAGTACTTGAAAGCTTTCAGTCTTAGAATCACGGTTAGTAAGAGAAAATATTACAAATTTTTATAAATAGATTATATATATATATATATATATATATATATTATATATATATATATATATATATATATATATATATATATATATATATATATATATATATATATATATTATTTTTAGTTTGTATAACTTTTTACATATTTTTAATATTGTATATTGTAATAATAGTTAAGATTCATGTACCATCAAATCACTATAGTTTATTATTTACCGTTATCGATCGTATAGTATTATATCTCTTATTGTATTTTAAAATTTCAAGCGCTGAAGATGACACACATGTTTGGGTTGAAACGTTGGCACAAATAAAAAATTAAAATATTTTTTAAAAGACTGCGTCCTGAATATTTATCACCCATTACAATAGAATTATAAAGTAATAATGAGACACCAATACACAAGCAAGCTATATACATTATTCAACGTATGCAATGATAGTGATAAATATTGTTATCATGTAGTAAATTTGGTCCTCCGGGCTGGATATTTTCCTTTCATTTATTGATGAAGATTACTTGTGTAAGCTGTAAAGGTAATCATCATAACTCACTTATATTTACAGCCCTTTATGAAGTTCCCGGCGGCATCATCGTCCTGCTTTCCGTCTTCTACGGGACTATCTCAGTGGTGGCAGTGGTCGGCAACTTCCTGGTGATGTGGATCGTGGCCACCAGCAGGAGGATGCAGAACGTTACCAACTGTTTCATAGCCAACCTAGCCCTGGCCGATATAGTCATAGGGCTCTTCGCCATACCTTTCCAGGTAAGTTTATCTAGAATTTTTAATTTAATTTAATTTTAAAATAATATTATTATTTTAAATAATAATAAATTTAAAATTATTTTTAAAAATGTCATTATGTGGTAATTAACCAGGGCCATAACGAAGTTGGAGCACTTGTTCCTGGCGGTACGATTAAGAAAGTGGCAATTTAGAAAGTTTTAAACAACATTTTATTTTTAGAATAAATGAGCTGATGCGAAGGACGTGTTCTGAAATCTTCTCTCAGTTGTTGCCTATTTTTTCAGCGGAATCTCTTTGATTATTTACTGAATATAGTTGAACTGTACACCAGAGCAGTTGTTATTTAGTTTGCTACATTTTTTTTTTTAATATTTTTTTTTTTTTTTTTTTAATTTTTTTTTTCTTTTCTTATGATATGCGGCATTGTCAGCCAGTGATATCCAGTAAGGTGCCCACTAAGAGGACTCGGTCAGACGGAGTTAGTACCCCTCGTGATTCACCAGTGAAACACAGAACTCGTCGCTGCCTGCGAGAAATAGCTCCAATAACCACAGTGAAAACTTCAGATACAGAACCTCAGCCTCAACCAGGTACTTCTTCGCAAGAAATGGTTGAAGAATCTCCTTTCTTCACTCCAAACCCGTTCCAAGTGCTTCATAATGACAGAGAAGTAATGGAGTCAGCAGCAGTACCCAGGGAACCAAGGCCTCCTCCGATATTTGTTAAAAACATCAAAAATTTTCAACTTCTGTGTACACAGCTAAACGAAATCTGCTCCGGCAGTTATTCTTGCCTCAACAGGACTAACGACACAAAAATAACACCTGATACTGCAGAAGCCTACCGAAAAATTGTGAAATACCTGTCAGAAACTAATGCAAATTTCCACACGTACCAGCTGAAACAGGAGAGATCGCTACGAGTGGTGGTTAGAAATTTACACTCCTCAACCCCAACTGAAGTGATAAAAGAAGAACTAGCGACGCTTGGTTTCAAAGTGCGTCAGGTAACCAACGTTCTGAAGGAGAATAAGGAGCAGCCAGGAGTGAGTAATAAAGTTCCACTACCTTTATTTTTCGTGGATCTAGAGCCATCACCTGGCATTGAAAAAATATATGATATCAAGAGATTGTACTACACTATCGTGAAGATAGAGAAGCCATACCCCAAGAAGGAAATTGTGCAGTGCCACAATTGCCAGGCGTATGGCCACACGAAAACTTATTGTCACCATCTGCCGCGTTGCGTGAAATGCGGTGAACAGCACAAATCTGTGGAGTGCACCAAACCAACACAAGATCCTGCAGTGTGTGCACTATGCCAGGAGGGACACCCGGCCAACTACAAAGGCTGCCAAACCTATAAGAGCCTCAAATCCAGATACCAGAAGAACCGGATTCAAGATGAGACAACCAGACCAAGAAGAGAACCTTCTAGAATTGTTAACAATAATTTATCATACTCCGAACTACTTGGAGGTAAGAACCCCAATAATACATGTGAAGCCCTGCCGCAGCAACTACCTCAGCCCCAATCTCAATATTCTGTTCATCCTAACACACATAATCATCAACAACCTCAAATTCCTCATATTCCTCCTCCTTCAAATGCAACAGATCTCACTAGTTTGTTAGCATCTTTCCTAACCGATTTCAAATCCCTAGTCACTCCACTCATATCACTCCTTACAAATCTCGTATCTCACCTCATCCCTCCTTTGAAAAATCCTTAATGACCCACATACCAAAACCCATGTCCATTCTCCTTTGGAATGCGAATGGTGTTAGAAATCACGTTGACGAACTAACAGCTTTACTACAAGACAAGAACATTGACGTAGCCCTAATTACAGAAACTCGACTGACCATAAAACAGCATTTAAAAATCCCACAGTATTTAACATACCGTACTGACCACCCTGATGGCAGAGCACATGCCGGCACTGCTGTCATCGTACACCAATCCCTCTCCCATCACTTACTCCCATTACCTACTCAAGATTTCCTACAGTCAACCGCTATTGTAATCAAAGCCTTCTCCTTTCCAGTCACCCTTGCATCAGCATATTGCCCTCCTAACAGATCCATATCCAAAGTCCAGTTCAGTTCTCTCCTCAACTCCTTAGGTCATCATTTCATCCTGGGTGCAGACTTAAATGCCAAGCATCAAGTTTGGGGTTCAAGAACCACGAATTCTCGTGGCAGAACATTTCTGTCTGCACTCAATACCCAACGTTTCAGTCTCCTTCCACCCAACTCACCTACCTACTGGCCCACAGATCCTAACCGCAATCCCGATATCCTTGATTTTTTCATCCACAGTGGCTTAGGTCCCCTCAATCATTCCCTTACCCCTCTTGGCGAACTATCCTCAGATCATAGTCCATTATTACTCCAATTATCTCTAGCTCCTATTCCTAAGTCTTCTCCACCGTCCTTCATCAGAGGCCCAGTTAACTGGAAACTCTTTCACCAAATCCTTACCGATAAAATTGACCTCAGAATGACCCTGAAAACCCCAGATGACCTTGACAATACCGTACACTTTTTTACCACCACTATCCAACAAGCAATCTGGACTGCTTCCTTTCCAAACCACTCCTCAAGAACTCCTAAGAAAAATAAGTTACCTCAACACCTCATAGACCTAATCCATACCAAACGCCGTGCCAGATTATTATGGCAACGTACTAGACACCCCACCGATCGCCAATCCTATAATTATTTTTGCAAAAAACTAAAGATAGAATTGGCCACCTTCAGATCCCAATCCTTCAACTCCTACCTCACTTCCCTCTCTTCTCATGACAATTCCCTATGGAAGACCACCAAACATATCCTAAAACCCCATCACATATCACATCCTCTCCGTCGAGGTGATGGCTCTTGGGCAGCATCTGACGAAGATAGAGCCGAAGAATTCGCCAAAAACCTTTCCCTTACATTCACCTCTCATCCAGAATCCAATCCCACCCACACGTCAGCAGTAGAGGAATTCCTTAATTCACCCATCCCACTCTCCTTACCGCCTAAAGCAGTTAATCCTTCTGAGGTCAAATTCCTTTTACAAAAACTACCTACCCGTAAATCACCTGGATACGACCTGCTTACCTCTCAGATCCTTAGACAACTCCCTCCTAAAGCTGTCATATTCCTTACATACATATACAATAGCATCCTACGAACCACCCACTTTCCTCTTTTGTGGAAACATTCCACTATTATCCTGTTTCCGAAACCAGGCAAACCTCCCAACACCTCAACGTCCTACAGACCAATTAGCCTTCTTCCTATTCTCTCAAAAATCTTTGAAAAGATCCTCCTAAAACGCATCCTACCCTTTATAGAATCCCAAACTCTTCCTTCCCATCAGTTCGGATTTCGTTCACAACACTCTACAGTCCAACAAGGACTCCGAGTGGTTGATCATATTTCCGCAGCATTGGAAAGCAAGCAATATTGCTCGGGTGCATTTCTGGACATAGCTCAAGCTTTCGACCGGGTATGGCACGCCGGGCTTCTTTCCAAGCTGAAAAACTATCTTCCTCAGTCCTTGTACCTTGTTCTCCGTTCCTACCTCTCAGATCGTACCTTCCGAGTTCGTTGCGGTACTGAATTTTCGCATTGCTATCCAATTGAGGCAGGTGTTCCTCAAGGTAGCGTATTGGGTCCCGTCCTTTACATCCTCTTTACCGCCGATATCCCTGTCCATCCCGATACCTTCCTGGCAACTTTTGCTGATGACACCGCTATTCTATCATCCGACTCAGATCCCAACATAGCATCCTTAAATCTCCAAAACCACCTCACCTTGATTGAGCACTGGTGTAATAACTGGCGCATTAAAGTTAATGAATCTAAATGCCAACACATTACCTTTACACTCCGACGCAGTTCCTGTCCACCAGTACACTTTAATTCCATCCAGCTTCCTTACTCAGACACAGTCCGGTATCTTGGCTTTCATTTAGACCGAAGACTGACGTGGAACCCACATACTAGACTCAAAAGACAAGAACTCAACCGACGATACGGCCAGCTATACAGACTACTAAACAGAAAATCCAAACTTTCTATTGAAAACAAATTACTTATCTACAAGACAATACTGAAACCTATATGGACATACGGACTTGAACTGTGGGGTACAGCAAAAGCTTCTAACATCAAACGTATTCAATCCTTTCAATCTAAAGTCCTTCGAACAATAGTTGATGCTCCGTTCTATGTAAATAACAAAATCCTACACCATGACCTTAATATCCCATTTGTCCTAGACCTTATTCCAGAAAAATTCTCCAAATTTCACCAGAACCTTACCTATCATCCAAATCCCCTTGCACAATCTCTATCCAGCACCACCCATCCTTACAATCCTCCTCGAAGGTTGAAGCGGCAGTGGCCCAGAGACCTTTTGTAAATAAGCATCTATTGGAGTTTTGGCAATGGCCAGATCCTCCACTCAAGCCCGAGTGTGTATGATTAGGTTAGTTCTTTTGTTTATATACATTCATTTTATTTTATTGTATTTATTTTTATTTTATTCATTGTATTTATTATTATTAAGTTTCTGTATTATTTTATTTTTTTTTTTATTATAAATAGAGTGTGAGTGTGCTTTCTCTGAACACTATTATAAATGTCCTTGATGTGACAGAATGTAATATTTCTAAATAAACAAATAAAAAGAATAAATGAAAATATTTGCTCCTGATTTTTGATTTTCTAGGCCGTGATTCAGTCAATAAAACGAGTTAATATAATTTATACGAAATATTTATTTCAATAAGAAATTTAAGATATTACTTATATTATATTGTATAATTATATATATATCTATATGTTACCTAAAATACTATTATATAACGATTTACTTTAATTGAGGATAGGAGAGAACGAAAGGATAGGTGGCAAAAGTACGCTTACCTTAACTGGAAAATTCCTAGTTTCGGCGCCGCATATAACTAAATATCATTTTAATTTATCTTGTGAGTCTCAGTTTATATTTCAATTTATAGCATTTATTCAAATGTTTGCTTTACTTTCTATATTAATACTATCAAATGAATATATCTTTTGTATGTCGTTCAATAGTTTAAAATTATCGGTAATGATATTCCTTTTTTTTTTTTGTAATTGATTGATTTTCAATATTGAATATAGATTTTCGTTTTTCCATTTTATTTCTTCTATTTATACTATAACGATTCAAAAACAATAACATCATCTTGCAGTGATAAATAAAAATTTTAAAAATGTTAAAAATAAAATATAGTGATTGTTTCGAGTTATTCACCAACGATTTAGTGGTAATTTATAGACAACTAAAAAATAAATTATTATCAAGTTGATATTATTAAAAAAATAGTTACTAGCTGGCCTGACCGAATAATTCGCGTATCGGTCTGTGACTATAAATTTATATAATATAAGAACGATCCAATACAATCAAAGTTTCTTTTCCCCCGAATTATTTTTCCTGCTTTTTCTGGGAATAGTTTCAAACTAATGCTTAATTATTAGATTTGATGAATAAAAATATAAGAATATATTTAATCATTAGATTTGATAATTTAATTTATATAGAAATATATGACGTATCGACACAAAAATAATTAGAGATTCATAAATATATTATAAATTTCTTGAATTCAAAATACTTCCGAGCCCTACGTATCCAAGTCCATATACTTAAATATATTCCTGTTGGATTAAGTGGTATCATTTTTTTTAAAATAACTTGATAATAATACTTGCACACATAATTGTACTCTGATTTTGTGTAAGTTTGCGCATACTTGCGTGGGTGCATACATTCATGTCATATATGGGTGTTATACAACTGACTTTCAGGTAGCTAGAAATCCTTAAATCGGTAATTTTCATTATTTATACCATATTTTTTTGTTAGCCTAAATATGTTATAAGTAAAAAAAAAAAAGGAAAAAACATTGAAGAGCTATTCTAGCTTTACTGCATAAAGCTTTAAAAAGTATTTCGAAATAATTACAATTTTTGATTTTTAAAAATTATAGTTTTTTATTTAACCAAATAATGAAATGTTGTGCGTTTTAATTAATGATGAAAATAAAAAAAGAACAGTATGTTTAAGGCCTTAATTACGAACACAGCAGACGTGTCTCTAAATACAAATTATACGAGTCTTGAGTTATTTGCCTTGCGTGCCTTCCGTGACTAAGAGAAAATTGTTTCCGACTCCTCGGTTTTTATCTAGGCCTAATTAGTTAAAGAAAGCAAACATTATTCGTTTCAAGCGAAAACTTTTTCATTTTCGTTATATATAATATTAACGTGACTAATCTATAGATCAAATGTTATTAACTATGATTATATTTGGATATATGTTCTGTAAAAAACACGCTTTAAGGGTAGCGCTCACTTGGCGACTCCGGCCTGGCTTGGCCACACTTGAAAAAGTAACTCTGACCGAATAGTTAGGGATCCCTCTCACTTGTCCGCTCTGCACTTTTCGACCAATCCGGATTCCGCCTGTTAACTAACTAATACCGACTGAAGCCGAGATCGTACGAAATTCCCATTCTCGATATTTCTGTGTACAATTCCATAACTCCATTATTTTTCATCGGATTTCGTTATTTCTTCGCTTTATACCGTCACTATAAATATACTGACAGTTAAGGTATACGATTAAAAAAAAAACTTACTAAGCATACTACATTACTTAGGTAACGAATGTTTATTTATTCAACCTCCGAAAATAAAATTTGATCATAAAATTAAATTTGCGATGTATTAATTAGTTTACAATGTGCGAATTCGGATGAGCTTCACATAGCAGGATATAGATAAGCTCAGCATATGTATCTCTTGGCAACCGCCTATTCATTCGTCGTGGGGAGCTCTAGCGGTGTCTTTTGTGATTAAGAATTTATGTCAATGGGTTCATGTTGTAAGTATGCGCAAGATGAAAGTTATTGTAATTTTCTTTTGCAGCGTCTTGAGTTGTTGGGGTGTTTAATTTCTTATGTATTTTTTCAATTGTGACATAAAACGCTGCGTCAACTATCCTTCGCAACACTTTGGAATGAAAAGTCTGGATATTCCTAATTTTATCTTAGCAGATCCCCACAGTTCTGTACCGTAACTCCAAATTAAGGAGAAATCAAATTGAGATTGGTTTTTCGTTCCTGGAAAACCAATCATATATAAATTTTCATAGCAATAAAAAAATAAAAAAGCTCAAATTTTCACCGAATGAACAATGTTTGTCAAAATATTTTTACAATATTATCAAAAAATCTACCAGTTTTCGAGAATCTAGGTTTTCAATTGATTGAACCAAACATCAAATTAATAAAATTTATCAAGAATTAAACAAAGTGTAATATCTTATTTTACATATAAATAAATAAATAAATAAATAAATAAATATATATATATATATATATATATATATATATATATATATATATATATATATATATATATATATATATACCACTAAAACCCATGAAGGTTCTTGGATTCAGTACTATTTAGGGAAAGGACTGTTTCTAGATCAACGGTTGTGCAAGGAGGTGATTTGACAGAGATCACGCTCAACCGCCAGGTTTTCCCCCTTAATTAATTATTTAATTAAGGATACCCACTTTATAGAGGCTAGGTGTGCCCCAGGAGGGTCTCCCGACCCAGTGTCGCTCCACGGCTAGTGAAACAGATAAATAAATTTTCTGACCATGAGCAAGGGTTCGAACCTGCGACCTTTGCATTGGAAGCTCAATGTATATATATATTTATTGTATATATATTTATTTATTTATATACAAGACAAACCACTACATATCACTTTCACCCTTCGACATGAAACTTAATATTAGCCCTGATATTTACATTTACAATGTCCAAATTCCTCAGACAGACAAAGTTCAATATCTTGGACTGACCTTTGGCAGAAGAATGATATGGAACCCGCATATGAAAAACAAAACAAAACTCTAAACCTAAGACTACGACTGTTGTACTCACTCCTAGCAAGACAATTGAAATTAAAACTTAGACAAAAATTGAATACGTATACTTACAAACTTAAGCCCATTTGGACCTAAGCTTCAGAGATATACGGGACAGCCAAAAAGTGTCACATACGTAAACTAACAGATTTTTCAATTTAAAACTTTCAGAACTATAACCAAGGCTCCCTGGAACGTCTGCAACATTACCTTACATAAAGACAGTTAACATACTACAAACGATTTCATAATACCATACACGGACATAACATCACTCGAGGCATGGTCACAACTAATATGTCCGATAGCACCCGAAGGTGGCTTAAAAGAAGCTGGATGAGGGATCACCAATGCTAAATATAAATATTAAATTAAAGACAGGGCACTCCTCTCCCTCAGCCCTATTCCAAGACCTATTAATCTTCTACATCTCGACATCATCCTCGCTGATTGTCGGAACTTCTGACAGGTGTTAGTTGAATAAATGCATGAATACAAAAAAATAAAAAAAAAAAAAAATATATATATACTATATATATATATACAAAAGGTATTTATTCTGTATTAATTCATACTTTTTATTCATAAGGACTAGTCACCAGAATAAAGTTCTATTTTCTATTCTATTCTATTCTAAAAATAAATAAAGTCTTTAGAAGATAAAACAAAGAATTTTTAACGCTCGAAAGAGAAAAAAAAATTGATTTTATAATAAGTTATCTCAAGTTATATACCATAGTGTCACTTATTTTTGTATTTTCGTATATTATTTCTAATGATATTTTATACTCCACAGATAATATAGTACAATAAGTAATGGTGTTATAAAACGAAGACACCAGGAAATCAGATGAAAAATAACGGAGCTATAGAGTTATGGCCAAAAACATCTAGTTTGGATCCACTGTGTGGCCTAGTGCGCGAACTCTCTACCTATTTAGTCAAATTCACTTTTAAAAACACTAGAGCGGAGGCAATCCGTACAAGCTAGCGTGTGTTTTTAGGCTAAATGCGGATCGGGGCAAAGAAATCCGGAGTAGACCAAGAGAGCGCCCTGCTTTAGTGTTTTTAGTAGAAGATTTCAAGTAAGTGAACAACCTGTCACGGGTCTCAAAATTTAAATAAGCAACAATAATCCATTGGTTAAGTCAACCATTGTCTCTGACAGTAACTTACTAAGATTTTTTTTAGTGTTTTCATTCCTTAGGAATAAAGAAAAATAAAGAGAAAAACAGCTGCTTTTCCTGCAAACAAAGAAAATAAAAGATTGAACGGGGCCTTACGAAAATTACCTGTTAGAGTGAAGCATTAGGACTGCCGCCGTGGAAAGGAGGGCCATTAACTGACTTTTGTCCTCTTTGGTTTCATCGACTCAACGCCACAAGGGCTTGAAAACTTTATAAAAACTCGCACGTTACAAGGAACAAAAATATTTGGGGTATGTTCCAAACTGAAATAGACTAAGATCTCACTCATGTATCTTTCCCTCATTCTTAGTTATAAGAAGTTCATTTTCAGTAAAAACTAAATACTAGTTCATGGCTAGTACAATTACAGTAATTAGAGAAAGTAGGAACCAATCCCTTGTTTTTCTTTTTGTCGTTTTCAGGCGGCTAGCTATACGTTGTGTCCTGTTATATTCTGGAGTCAGAGTATCAATAATTATTTCTTTTGAAATGAATGCTCTCTGAACTAGATGGTAATCTAACCCATGCCTAACCGAAATCTCTGAACAACCTTCCTTAAGTCCTGAAATTTGTTTCAACTTGATCAATTAGAAGGATTGGTGCATACATAATACGTTTTCATACGTTAATAAATATTATCTAAAATTATTCGTACATTGACATTGCTTAGTTCAATCTTTGCATTAGTTTAATAATATTGTAATGTTAATTAAAAGGACTGAAACTGAGTTAGAAATTTAATACATCTACATACTTACTTAACTTTTAAGGACATAATCGGTAGAACAGCAAAAAACTTCAAACTTTTTAATCCAAATTTCTGTAACTCATAACAAAAATCACCATCGTTTTTGCTTGTATTGTTCGTTCCTGACAAAATATTACATACTGAAATCCACCAGTCAACATTTTACGAACAAATAATGGCTCTTTATTGACTATCGTATATATTTTGTTCCCTTTTACAATCGTGGGCATATAAATTGCATCATCCTAATGTTACCCACATGCGAGACCAAGACGAGTCTTGCAGTTACATATTATCTTATTAAAATAGAGATATTAATGTAATTTTTCAGATAGCCCTAGGCAGATAACTAAGCCCAAATGAAAAATTGGAAGAGTTGAATTCAAAAGCATATTGGTTATACTAGTTCTTTACATATAGTTAGTAAAATTGTCAAGTATTAGTACCTAATTGCCTGAAGTAACTAAACGATTTTTTTTTCTTTTTACCAATCTTGGTCTTTGTCTTGCTGTTGCACAGTAAGGCGGGCTTGATCTTGGTCTTGCAACACTACACTTGATTTTGGGCAACACTACATCATACAGTTCAAATTTTATTATATTTACCAGTTTGCTACTGCATGATCTCCGGATATTTCTTTACCAGTTATGAAACGGTATCCTAAACCCAATCGCACTATTAAGCGGTTGAATTGTTAGGTTTTTTTTTTTCTCCTAGTTTCTCTCATTCGCTCGATGGAGACTTTTTTTTTAACTAAGACTGCCGTTGATTAGTGGTTTCCTATTCTCGTTACTATTTTCTGTAAAATTACTTTAGTTCATCTAACGTCACAATGTTAATTTTTTTTAAGGTGACACTTTTTTATACAATTCATAATTACACCTCCTATCCTGGCATTGGTTAAAACTGAACTGAAAAATATTGTTAAAGTTTTCATGTAACCTCAATAAGTAAAAAAAAAACAAAAAACATTCAATTGTATCAATGTTATCAACATAAGAATGAATAAAATGAAATGATGAAATTTCTATGACCGCGACTGTATTTTTCCATCCTTACCTGAAATATTAATTCAAACGGTCATGTCAAGTGACAGCCTTAGACATTTACCGCCCTCGGACAATGATATGTCCCCTCACATCTCAAAAAATGAAAACTTATTTCTTGAGTTGCTACTTTATATTAAGTAATATTTGAATTTTAATTAATCCAATATATCTCTAATTCAGTTGCTTCAGTAATATGCTAAAATTAATTATGCTCATGTGCTTTGAATTTTTTTTTAATTTCTACCAATTAGATAATTGTAAAATTACCCGTTGGCAATTGCTCAAAGGCCGGAACTAGTCATATTAATAATTTAATAAGAAAGAAAAGGCTGACATATCGCTAATATAAGGAGGAGGCGAACTATCGTGGGTGTCAAACTCTTCGTGATTTGAGAGCACAATGAACGACGAGAAATCACCAGAGAGCATCACCTCCTTCATCGAATCTTCTAGATTTCCAAAATCTTCCACAACCTTCTATTGATGTGCAGAATCAGAATCAACAAGTGCAGAAGCAGAAGCAATCTCAGCGACATCTTCCAACGCAGCAGCTGAAGTCAGATCATCAGCATCATGTTGTACAGCCGCAACCGCCAGTCCAGAAACAGCCTGAACCAGTAACACAGAACACTCAACTTCCTTCGGCAGCCATGAGAGGAGAAAGTACCCAGCACACATCAGCTGATGCATATTTCACACCACAACTGTTTCAGTTACTAAATGGTCTCAACACTCTCACCCAGCCCCTTTTTAGCCTTCTCCAACAGCTCGCGCAGGTGACTCAAGGTATCTGTCTTCCAAATGGCCATTAATCAGCTAACTGTGGGTTCCATGTCTGTTATACTATGGAACGCAAACCGAGTGAACCAACATAGAACCGAACTGGACATATACTTACACGAGAAATGCATTGAAATTGCACTAATAACAGGAACACATCTGACACCGCATTCTAAATTTTACATCCGTGGTTACAAAATCTACAGAACTGACCACCCAGACGGAACTTCACACGGAGGCACGGCCATGATTATCAAAACAGTTCTAAAACATAATCCATTACAATTAACACCAGAGATTCAAACTACAGCCATTACACTATCAACACAACAACACCCACGATGTTTAATAATTTCTTTAAACGTCTTGGTAGATTCTTTGTGGCAGATGGCTACTACAATGCCAAAGATCAGTTCTGGGGATCCAGACTATCTACTCCAAGAGGAAGGAATCTTAGGTATGTTCTTTATGAGTTTTCATTAGACACAATATCACCTAATTCACCCACTTACTGGCCAACTTCTAGACGGAAAACACCAGACTTACTCGATTTTTTCATAACTAAAGGACTCCGAACAACACCTCACACCATAACAACGAGTTCAGATCTTTGCTCTGATCATTCCCTTTTGCATTTGGTATTGTTTGAAGAGCCTTGTGAAGCTACAAAAAAACTGTCCCTGATCAATGGCGTAATGGATTGGAACAGGTACAAGAACCAATTGGACACTGCTCTCTCTGTTCCTCTATCCATTAAACACGAAGAAGAACTTGAGGATGCCGTTGAATACTTCACTTGAAATATTCAAGAAGCAGCATGGTCTTCATCAGTAGCGAAACCTCAAAAATATGAGTTGTTACCAATGTACCCACAATACATAAGGGACTTAATCAGAGCGTAGAGGAGAGCTCGCAAAATATGGCAGACTGATAGACTCCCATCAGATAAACGAACTTACAACGGACTTAATAATGAACTCTCAAACGACGATGGAAGCTTGTGGAGACATACCAAAAACCTTATTAAGCATCGTGAAGTGTCAGCACCCCTTCGAAGAGAAGATGATACCTGGGCCGTGACAGACGGAGAAAAATCAGAACTCTTTGCCAAATATCTTTTCTCTGTTTTTGGACCACACACCGACTTCACTAACACTGTGAACGATAACAATGTACTAAACACTTTAGACGTGCTCTTACAACTAACTTCACCTCCTATTTCATTCACACCTTCCCAGATTGCTGAACAAATCAAAAAGTTGCCTAAAAGAAAAGCTCCTGGACATGACTTGAACGCTGAAGTGCTCCAACAAATGCCTAGAAAAGCTCTAGTGCTTTTGGCAACTATTTATAATGCAATACTTAGGATAACTAAATTTCAACTACAGTGGAAATACTCACGTATAATAATGATTCACAAGCCTAACAAGGACAAAAACTCACCTTCCTCATACCGACCAATCAGCTTACTACCTATCTGTTCCAAAATTGTTGAAAGCTTACTGAACAAAAGACTTATTGGTATACCAACAAACACCAAAATAATACCTGACCATCAATTTGGATTTAGGGCACATCACTCAACTGTACACCAACTACATACAGTAACGGACTACATATCTACAGCACTAGAGCAGAAAGTATATGCAACTGGCGTATTTCTGGATGTTGCTCAAGCGTTTGACAGAGTTTGGCACCAGGGTCTTCTCTTTAAACTCAAGACAATACTCCCACCTACATATTATTTAATTCTACAATCCTTCCTTTCCGATAGATTTTTCTCGGTCCGACACGGCTCAGAATTATCTTCCATCAGGTCTATCTCAGCAGGAGTACCTCATGGTTCAGTACTCGCTCCGCTACTCTTATCACATACACACATGACATACCTTGCAGTCCCAACATTTTAACAGCGACATATGCAGACGACACAACAATTTTAGCAAGACACAAAAATCCAACATACGCCTCCCAGACCCTACAACAGTATTTAACAAGATTACATGACTGGTTCAAAATTTGGAAAATCCGACTAAATCAAGACAAATCACAGCATATCACATTTACGCATCGACATGAAACATGCCCTCAAGTTTCCCTTGACAGTACACAGATTCCACAGACAGACACCGTTCACTACCTTGGTCTGACATTTGACAGAAAAATGACGTGGGTCCCACATATAATCAAGAAACGAAAAACGCTAAATCAAAGGTTAAGAATTCTTAACTCACTTCTTTCGAAAAATTCAAAACTAAAACTTAGACAGAAATTGAACACATACAATTACTTACTAAAACCTATTTGGACTTACGCATCACAAAT